CAAACTCTGTAAAGATCATTTTAGAAGTGAATTCTATAGTGGATTAACACGAGAAAATATGAGATGTATTGCAAAAAATAATTATTATCATGAATTGGTAAAAATTCTTATTCAGGTGAAAAAAGAATCAGTGACTGGTATTATAACTGGGTTTAAAGATTATATTAGTCAGTCAAGTATTACTAATCTGAATGGGATACAATACTTATTGAGAGGTATACACTGGATAACTAACCTGAGCAAAGGTAGTCCGAAGCAGTGATCACCAGCTCAGAAGAATTTGCTGAGCCTCGATACATGTACTCATGTGCGACAAAAATAAGCGATCACTAGACAGGGTTCGTGTAATATTAATCTTGCATATACATTCGAAAAGAAAACATATTAACCTTTATTCTTTATTTTTTTCAAACAAACATGAGAAAAATGTGAAAGGAAGTCTAGTTGTAACACAGGACCTACCGTAAAAGTAAATATTGCTGACAAAAGCATATGTTGTGAAAGGCTAGGGACTTGCAATTTCCGAGATCTACAAGAACTAACTACCTTTGCGTCTCACGGGTAGATCTCCATATGAAAAGGTATGAGGATTCTGTTTACATGTACTTTTATGAAACTCTTGGCATCAGACGACAATACTAATTACGCCTCATATCTCCTTAACTTTTTCCCCAACCAGATATAAAGCATGGAGAGGTATGTGGAAATTCAGCCAACTTCTTCAGCTTGGCGCTTCGCAAAAAACTTTCCCAGAGAAAATAACGCAAAATAAGTATGTATATGCCCTAAATTATGTATGTATGGGAGGGTTCCTCTAGGACTGAGCGAGTTTTTTCTCACTATGGGCTCTTGTATTTAGGAAAGTAAGATGTCTTTTAACTTTACCCTAGTTAACAGAATTGAAAAATATGAAATGGAAAGACTTATCAAGTTTTTGCGAGAGGATTCCAAATCAGAAGGCTTAGAACTTGACAATAATTTTTTTACAAAGCATAAGGAGAAAGAAATCATCGGTAGTTCATTTCTCAAGCTAACCGGATGGAATTTTAAGGAATATGGAATAACACTAAGACAAGCATTAGAACTTGAAGATTATATGAAGAGGCTGGGTGAGTAATTAATTTCGCTGAGCCAGACACTTTGCTTAACATTATAGCTGAAATCTAACTGTCATTAATTTGGTAACAGGTGTTCAAGAAGCAAAAATAAATTTAGATGATGTTCATGTTAAAAAATAGTATTTTTATTTTTGTATCATGTAATAGAAATATAGTCATGCGAAGCACCTTAACAGCCAATTTTTATGTATTATAGGCCGGCTTCTGACAACGTTTTTTATTTCATAAATAAAGTATTATTATCCGATCAATATACGAGTAAGCGGTCACGTATATTGATACAATACCTATGCTACATAAAAACCTATATTAATGGCCAGTATTCTTTTCTCCGAACAGAAATAAAATTTTATCTTACTCCAGAAAGTAACACTATTTTTTGTCCAAGCCTAATAACCATATAAAAGCACTATATCTGAAACTAGTACACCTTATACTCCAGCTTCTACCTCTACTACTGTAGCTAGAAATGAGACGGTTTTGCTGACAGACGAAATTAAGAAATATGACACGGCCAAACTTATAGAATTTTTGCAAAAACAGGGCTTAAGTCTTAGCGAGACAGTTATCAAAATTTTAGAAGAAGAAGAAATTAATGGCTGTACCTTCTTCAAGATAATTAAAGAAGAGCTTGAGCGTTATGAAATGAAATTGGGATCTGCAACAGCTCTCGTAGACTTCGCTAAGGACTGTAAGGATAAAAAATTAAAAGCGTTCTCCTCGTACAAGACCAAGGTAAACTTGGAGAAAGTATTGCAAGAAGATTATAAAATCTCGAGTGGAAATATTACTCTTATTCCACAGTTCAAACCAGTTATCTGCCTGGTTGATGAAAACTCTCCAGAATTTAAGCTCTGCATTGATGATATTCTTCGCAGGATAAGGAATATGAGACCAGTTGTAGATAGTAACGAGGCTATGCGTTGCGAGTATATTTCTATCATTCTTCACACAGCGTTGAGTCTCCTCGAAGGTTTAATAATCACTCCCTAGATGAAAATAACCAGCGAGATAAATACTGGTCGTGTTGACTATGCAATCAAAAAAATTCTAAATGACTTGCTCGAAGAAATAATTTGCATAACCGAGGGTAAACAGAATCAAGCAACTATGGGTATCTGCCAAAACGCAATGTCGAAGTGCTTGTGATGTAAGTATAATAAATTCTACTAGCTCGCATGATCATGAGCTATTGCTAATTTACTTCTCTATTTCTCTCAGATGAATATAAATATGAGCAAGAAAAAAAAAGGTGGATGAGATGTTCGATTCTGATTACGAATATGTTTATAGTATAGTCAGTACTAATACTAACTGGTACTTCATTCTTCATAGCACTGAGGGCATCTATAGTACTAGCAGGATCGAATATCGAATTTCACTTACAGAAAACGCTCTTCAAGACGATATAGAATTACGTAAGAATGTGAAGAGGATTTTAGAGGTTATAGTAGGTTTATTAAAGGATAGAGCACTAGGTAGTGAGGAACCCACAACTAAGAAGAGCTGTGTAGAAGAGATAATCAAGAAAAAATAATTGTATAGAAGACTAACATAGATATCATGTATCATGGATATAGTCTCGAACATTTGTATTTATTTTTGCATGTAATAATAAAAGAATTGAATTTTGCAGGTATATGTGATAAGCGAAAAATATAGTCATGGAACTGCCATTCCAGGGCTATAAACAATTTATTTATATTATAATCACGCCTTAAATTCGTGATAGAGCTAATATATGTTCTGACCCTAAAATACTTGTCTTGGTAAATACGTCATATAAAGAATTTGGTCTATACTTTGAAGGAACCAAATTTGGATGATAAAGGAATTTCACGAGTATGTTATTCCTCCAAGCTTTCGTCTCCTCATGCTTCCAAGTTATCTTTATCAATGTAGATAGGTTACTGTAATTCATTTCCATTAGGTTTTGAAGTGAAGATCGTTTATTTTTTTCGAGGGTAAATAAACTCATCCCACCTTCAACAGTAGAGTTCACAGTAATAGGGAAGTTTTTATGAATATCTGATCTACTTGCTAAGATAAATAAGGGCGGAATTAAGGCTGAATAGTAGAAGTCAGCTAAGGGATCCAGCTCAAATTCACTGGCACATATAATCCCAATATCTTCTAAATAATCTGAAAGTCTATTAGCATATCTGTAACCTTCACGAATCAACTTCTGGAATAGCTTCCCATTCAGGCTGATCCATCGACCAGTTAGTAAATTAAGTACTGTTCTATGTATGTCTGATTCTTGCATATGGATTGTTGAAATTAGCATTTATGAAAGTGATAATAGATGATTAGTACTTATGAAAATGGTATGTTTAATTACTCATTTCCTCCCATATTCTTCTTTTTATAATATATGTATGCTCTTTCCTTACCTTGACCGCATTGAACACAAAGCTGAACGCTTAATTTAGTGCCTCATTCACATCCTTTACATGGTTGTGGGATTATTACGCCCTTTCGCATTTTGAATGCGTGGGATACACAATATTGATCTTGTGTTAAATTTTTATAGAAACGGGTCTCTCTAACTAATAACCAATTACAAGGCATTTCTTTATTATTCATGCTCACTTTCATATTTAAAACTTTGTGAACTAAGTTCACAAAGTGGAATCACGTGAGTTTTTATTTTGAATGTAAATATATAGTGTATAAAATTATTTTCGAAAATGGCATCTGAGATTGACTTACTTAAGCAAGAAAACGTCAGACTTATGGCTGAGAATGCTGAGTTTAAGGTCAAGTATGACGAGGTCAAGGATGAGATTACAAAGTTAAGGGTTGAGCTCAGGAATAGAATTGAGAAATTAAAAAAAGCTAGAATAAATACTGCCGTCGAGAATACTAGATGTGATATTGATAATGTCAAGCGTGATGCTGAGAATGCTAAGCTTAAGGCTAGAGTTGCAAAGCTGGAAGATGATTCTAAGCATTCACGAAAGGATTCCTCTTCCAAAAAACTTGCTGACATACCAGACTCTGTAATAGCGAATGAAGTGGTATCTGTTAATTCTAAGTCGTCAGAGGAAAAGATGACGGACTCTTTTCTGGATGAAGTGAATAAGAAAATTGTTAATGATGGGATAAGGCAGAGAAAGCGGGATGAGAAGCTTGCAAAAGTAGAATCCATCTCTCCTGAAAAAGGTAAACAGGTATCAGTTGACAAAAGAGCACTTCGTAAGGAAAATCAGAAAAAACAAAGGAAAAATTCATTCAGGAAGTGTCTGAGAAGGCGGTCACTGAAGTAACCTCGGATGATTCGATACTTTCAGTATCTTCACAAAGAGAATCAGATTCAAGCACCAATTGTTCTAATATTATAGATAAGCTAGGCTCGAATTCTTTGGATGTTTGCCTAGAGAAAACAATACGAAGCTGTGATCCCTTAGCAGTAGAAATGAGAATGCTAACCTTTTCTCTTTTATATGAAAAACTTTGTAATGCTGTAATCCTTACTGATCGTACGATTCAAGAAGCTATCTTTTGTTACTGTCAATTTGGGAAAGCTCTTATCCAGAGGCGAGGTGAGATCGTATCTGAAAACAAGTCGATCTGGAGTCTAATACAATTAATAGAATTCTAAATATAGAAGTTAAAGCTCAGCTTTCTACTGGTACTTCTGATGCACTTTTACGGAAAAAATTGAGCAGGCCAAGAAGCTCTATAACTTTTAATGCAATAGGTATGGATAAAATAAAGCAAATTCATTCCTTCTCCGCTGATTTTATTTCAAAAATGACGTATGAAGATATCCAGTATATTATTGACAATATACCCTTTAATTATAGCATTCATATAGAGACACAACTTTGTGAACCAAGTTCACAAAGTGATAAGAAAAATTCTGACTTATTACATATCACCATTTCGGATGCACCTACTGAATCTTAAGTTTCCAATGAATCTGCCCCAAAAAAATTTGATACCAAGGTAGAGGTGATATCACCTATTTCTTAACTCAATAGTCCAACTTATGACTGCGTCTATTTTCGTAACAAAGCATTGGATCAATATCCTAATTTATATAGAGAATTTAGTAGTGAAAATGTTGATTATTATGGAATTACTAACGAGATTTCATGTTTATTATGCAAGTTAGATCATGATGATAAGGAAGGTATAAAAGGTAGATATGAAGTCAGATTCTATTTCATTAAATGTGAAAAGTGTGAAATTAAGATAGTTGCATAGTCTCATTATTTTATATTATATTCTATTTGCTCACACTTCATTGTGTGATATTTTTTAGGGCTAATTATGTCAACTATTAGTCTATTATATAATTTAAATTGATTCGCAATCATAGAAAAAGTCAACATGTCCAAGTCCGATAAAGTATTAACCCCGAATATCTGGATTGGCATGTCAAATTAACTGGTTTACCAAGTATTTTGACAAATAGGATTTGGTCCAGCTTATACAAAAAATATAAAAAAGAAACTGGATATGAGTCATGACAATTATCAAAAGCCTGCCTTCTCATAAATTCGAAGCCAGAAAACAAAATATCCTATTTATCTTTTTCTGAGCAATGTAAAGAAAAGGGCCTATCACTTTTGAAGCCAGACCCAATCCAGAATTAATTATCAAATCCGTCTTAGAGCACTTCTCATACTTGAAATTCAGAAATAGTTTCAGAGGGATTGATAATTATGATTTTACATCACCTCAGCTGTGGAGTTCACCATGCCCTATTTGTGATGGAAAACATGGGAATTATGGATTACATGGCTTATGGTACTGCGAAAATAGGAATCAGTTCCCTTATAATTCTGAATTAGCGAAGTTGCTATCTCAAAATAAGTTGGAATATTGTCTTACCTGCAATACTTCAAGCAATAAACTCAAGTTCGCGATTGTGGCTTAGACTGGAGGAATTATAAAGAAAAAATATTCGTATATTATTTCGTTTCTTTTTTTTCAAATCTCGTGATGGCGTATGCAAAAGAAACTGAAATCGAATGTGCAGTTGATATCGGGAAAATTCCTGCTGAGATTTTTCTGAGTACGTCATTGAAATTAAAGTTTATCATATGATTAACTGATAGATCCCGTTTCTATTAGTTGGAAGTATGAAGAGTCTTCATGATTATCATATGACATAACATGTATCATGAATACGTCTCCTTTACTTCAAGCTAGAATAGAGAAATATCGTTCAAAAAAATAATCGTGTATAATAGTCTACAATCATATAATTGCATCATATACCCAATGCTAGTCCCGCATCATGTAATTTATCTTAGCTCAATGTATTATAAATAAAAAATGTTTAGAGCACTAATGGAAATCTGTATCGGCAAATTAAAATTGCTAGCAAAAATCTAGAAACTTTTATTCTCAAACTTTCTCGCATATTCTCAAAATTATTACGTAAATTATTGTAAAAGGACCCTTGATGATCTTTACATATGGATAGCGTTAAATCTTTTATTGTTAAATTAAGGAGAGTCCATTGATGAGATTTTTGTGATGCGATCATATTAACATAATTTCTCCCAAAAGCGTATAACAAAATCAATCCTGTAAATTATATAAAAAGGTGATGACCTGATTAGTGAATCCTTTATCCGCCTTGTGCAAGTAAAATGAAAAATCAAGCGAAACAATAAAATTTACTATTATTTATATCATCAATATTATCATTTAAATGAACAAGTATATTCCGCAAAGTAATAATAAAGTAAGTTAGTTTATTGCTTGGCTAGTTTCTCTAAACATATCATCACGATATTTAATCGAATTTCCCGCTTCTTAGATGTTTCAAAATAAACCAGACATATTACTTCTACCAGTCTTCTTGTTATATATTGGTATTTTGATCTTTGCATCACGCGTACAGTATAATAGGCACAGTGAAATTACTCACATGAATCTCATCACATGCAACGGTACAGTAAAAGTCTGGCGCAGTACATCAAAAAATTTATCTTATATAAGCATCTTCACGTGCCGAATTCTTATATCTTTGCGCAGTAACTATCAGAATCATGTGACTTTGGAATAGATCAATCTGTGCGACCTTACCCTTATTGTCCGAAACGCAGTAGAGGACATTATGTTCTGTGCAAAAGGGTGAAAATGTTTGTCAGTCACGCACTTGATCAGTGTGACCTATATGTTATATTGTGTAACTGAAAAATTAACATACTGTGCAAAAGGTGAAAATCATAGAAAGACTTTCATGTGATTGGCCGATTAAGTTACACAAAATTTGTAATTGATATTGTAAATATTTATACATGTCACGTGATATAATACATGATAATAAATTTAACTATTGTATTTAAAGTATTTAGCATTTAAATGTAAAATAAATTAAAGTATTAAGAATAAAAACTATTGTTTCAAAAAATAGTTTAATTTATTAATTTTATATAATAGTCTTTAATTTTTGTAAAAAAAAAAATTGTAAAAAAAATTTTTATTTTTATTGTAATTAAAATGCTTCTTTAAATAAAGTTGTTCTTTTAAATGATTTATTGCTGTTGAAATTTATGCAATGCCTCTTCTAATGCATATGCTACATATTCTATAGGTTCGCTTTTATCATCATCATTACATAGAATATTGTTTTCCAGATCTTTAACTTCGGCTTGTTGTTCTTCTTCGAAGCGATGCAAACATTCTAACATGTTCATCAATACTGTCTTGTAAGAATGAGAAGCAATGCATGCACTTGAATCTATTGTTTGTATAACAAGATTTGTGATAAGTGTGACCATAAGCCAAAACTTGAATAGGATCTGTATTAAAAAAAATAGAACAGTTAGATGCATCGCAATATTGAAATAGATCTGGTCTATGTAAAGTATTAAACCCTAAAGGAAAATAATACAATCATGCTTCTGGCATTTTCATTGCTGTTAATGAAATGAAAATTTCATTAATTTTATGGTGCTTCTTCGAAGGTATATTTGGATTCACCTGTAATAGAATTATTAATAGCAAATTATTGTGAAATATGCATATATAGATTTCTGAAAAACATTGCAAAAGGAAACATGCACTTTCTTTGTTAAATAAGTAATATCTCAGGCAGAATATTCATAGGCAGCTTATGTGGATGTATGAGCGATGTTTTCTCTAAATCCGTTATCGTCTAGGCGTAATCAATTGATAAAATATCTATATTTAATGATCTGCTGTGCCTCGGTGTATTTCTGTGTGCTCTGACGTAGAAAGCTATGGAATATTTCAACAGTCGAGTCTGAAAACTTTGGAAGTTCAGCTTTAATGGTTTTTAAAATAAGATGATCGTTTAACTTCCAGAAAAATATATCTGAAAGAAATATTAATGATGCCTTAGTATAGTATTTGCGACAGAATTTGAGAAATACAATCCACACACGAATGCATGATTCTAGATAAGCATCAAAATCGCCAGATCAGAAAAATACCGTATAAACGTCTAAAACCAGAGGAATTAGGTTATCAAGCAAATCTTTCAATGCAAGATATTCAGCATCTTTGTATAGGAATCCAAATTTCGCATCAACACTTATCAAAATTTTCTGCCAAGCGTCACGAGAAATCTCTAAAAGAAGATTAATACGCCATGGTTTAGGCTTTTGTGCAAGAGGACTTCGTTCTCCAAAAATATACTTGTACATAGCCAAAAAAAAAGGCTGATATTGAAGGAATATTAGTTTTCGACTATTTAACAAGATATGCAAGGGACCTATAATAAGAAGAAATGATAAAATAGAATTAGTGATATTCAATCGATCACAATATAAGATAAAATATGAGATGGCCGTCCTAAGGTAGATTTGTCCAGGCCAATCAGCAATGACAGGTATAATATATTCCTTTTGAATATATTGTTGCATAGATGGAACATTTATAACGACATTAATGGCTTTGATATATACATTTAAAGAATGGAGATTATTTTCTTGTAAATCTATGAGGACTACGTCTTTCATCGAACGAGCATCCCATTTCTCTTTTAATCTAGTGTTATAACTATGTACGGTTAGCTCTTCTAATTTAGTACTATCATCAACTGAACGGAATCTCAGCATTAATTATGCAAAAGACCAAGAAGGGTCATGAATCTATTATTTAGATTCAGTTTTATCAACTCCGCGTCAACCAACCTAAGGTTGTGTATATTCATATTTGGAATCGCATACTGTATAGTGATTGGGTTTATTAAAATTGTTGTCAAGTGTGCTGCAGTAGAAGTTGTGGTCGTGTTTGGCATCCGTTTCGTATGGATACTATGATAATCATTGATATTTAATATTATTGCCTTCTCTGCATGTTCCGCGAGTGTAAAATTAACAGTTTTAGCATGGTCATTAGATATGGTAATTTTATGTCACGCGATTGTACGAGATGTTATAGTTACATTTAGATCAGCAAGAATATCTATGGAGGTATTAGAAATACTGGTAGAATCTAAATACATCGTCAATTCTTCCTTTGTGACATTAACGAACTTGCTACAAATTCTGCAGAGAAAGTAGCATACATATAAGAGTTGCTTTTTTGCCTGTGCTCGTGAATTTTCATTTTTTGAAAAAAGGTTAGAAGAAAGATATAACTTGTCAAAAAATGAACTTAATCTTACATCTTCCTTTTCTATAACTGCACAAAATTCATCAAATGAATATATTGCTGATTTTTTTCCTTCTTTTCACGGTATAAAATATTAGTAATTATTTTTATTGTTTTAGAGAAGAATAAAATAGAAGGTGGAGGTGGTGGCACCTGAAGCGAAAGCGATGGTGGTGGCAGAGCCAAAGGTGGTGGTGGTAGTGAAGGTTGAACCGGAGGTAGAGGTGAAGGTGGAGGTTGAACCGAAGGTAGAAAGGAAGATTCCAGAGCATGTTTTTGGAATGCAAGTGAGCAGTTTATCACAATTCCGTTATAACAGTTTAAGCAAATCTTATCACCTATTTGTAAATATCCTGATAAAGTTTTGTTAGTTTGACCTTTCGAAATAACGTACTCAGTTACCTTTTTCCATCATACTGACTGTTAGGTTTGGCATATTATAATTACATACGATTCCATTAAAAGTACTTGCCTCTAAGTAAAGTACCTTTAAATTTTGGATTTTTTTGGGATTATTTTGCATAGTGAATGTTAACATACTTTCGAAGCTAAAGAAAAAATTTTTTTATTTTTTTTTTATGTAAAACGTTACAATCTCAAAAAGTACTCTAAACTATATAAATAATGTATCCGGCAATTGAATAGGATCAGCCAATCACGTGAATATCCGTCCATGAGGGTGAAAATGTTGAGAAATCTTAACCTGCATCAGGGGGTCTAGGCGTTTATCCTAGACCTCCCCTCTGTGATTGGCTGATCCTGATCTATGATTACACATAACACCATAATGCGTCATCACTTACATCATAATAAACAATGATTATCGATTATCTTGTATACGATGTATACTACTTTTTTTTATACCGCCTTTACACACAATTTCAATACTTTGAAATGGAAGAAAATTTTCAAGAAACTTATGACCATGATTCAGTATTTTCTGAGTTTTCTGAAGATACTTTTAATAGTGAAATTCCTAATGTTGAACTTAACGAAGGTGATACTTATTCTTCTGAAGAAACTTTTATTATAGCAGTTAAAATATATGCAAAATAACAAGGCTTTCAAGTTCGTTTAGGAAAAATTGAGAAGAATGCTATAGGTCAAATACGTAAAAGAACAATAGTTTGTAATAGAAAAGGTTTTCCTGACAAAAATTTAAATGGTCTAAATAAAAGAAACCGCATTTCACAACGTTGTAATTGTGAATTTAGAGTTCGTGCTTCACTTAATTCCAGTAATAGACTTTGGTACCTAATTTCTGTACAATTAGAACACAACCATTCTATGGTTTCTGGAATTTTTCGCAAATTTATGTCTGAAGAAAGAACAATTCCAATTGAAGTTCAAGAAAGAATTTTACTTCTTCGTCGTTCTGGTTGTAATGTTCCTACAATTTGAGCAATACTGAAAGAAGAATTTTCAGACATTGTACCTTGGATTTATGATGATTTATATAATTTTATTTACCAAAAAAAGGGAATAAAACGAGAATTTGATTCAAATGACTTTGTAAAGAAATTGGAACATCTCAAATCTCAAGACAATGAATTTTGTTATGAAGTTTTAATAGATCCTGAAACAAATGAATTTAGGCAAGCAATTTGGATGTTTCCTGAACAGAGAATAAACTATTGCCGCTTTTATGATGTAGTTATTTTTGACAATACCTACAAAACTAATAGGTTTGGAATGCCATTTGGCATTTTTACTGAGGTTAATAATTATGGCCAAAGTGTGTGTTTTGCCAGAGTAATTATGAGTGATAAAACTGCAGAAAGTTTCATTTAGACTTTTACCTTCTAAAAATGGTTAATAATACTTCACCAAAAGTATTTCTAACTGATGAAGATCAAGCTATTATTAAAGCAGTAGATCTTATTTTTCAGCTGCATGGAATAAAATATGCTTTGTGTTTATGGCATCTCATGAAAAATGTGGTTAAAAATTTAAACGGTATTTTAGAATTTAAATGGGTGGAATTTATAAAGTTTTTTTATCAATGTATTAATAATTATGATGAGAATGATTTTTTGGAAAAATGGGAACAATTAAAAACAAATTATCCATCAACTATCAAGTACTTAAGAAAAATGGATAAAAATTTAACCCGTTGGACACCATGTTATAACAAGCAAATATTTATGGCAGATATGTCTACAACACAAAGGGGTGAATCTATGAACAGTTTAATGAAAGGTTACATGGATGCTACAACATCTTTAATGAATTTCTTAAAAGCATTTGAATCAGCATTAGAACAGAGAAAGGAGGATGCAGATTTGGCAAAATTTTGTGGAGATAATAAAGTTATTTCATTATTAACGGCAAGTCCTTATGAAAAACAAGCTTTAGAATTATTAACAAAATATGCATTAATGAAAACTCAGGAGCAACTTTCTCAATGCATGTCATACAAAAGTGAAAAAATTAACAGGTAAAGAAAAAAATTTTATTTTTTAAAATTATTTCAAGTAATAAATTTAACGATTTACTTCTTTTTATAGTAATGACAATGAAATTTCATTTTGTATAGAACGATTTGGTAATCAAAAAAAGGGAAGGATCGTTAAATATAATTTAAAAAATAAACATTTTTCGTGTTTATGTTATTACACAAATTTTTCTGGGATTATATTTCAGCATATTTTTAAAGTTATTACATAACTAAATTTAGAAGAAATTCCTCACCATTTATTTCCTATAAGATGGCAAAAAGATCCTGATGATAACATATTAGTTAAAATGTATAAAATATTTTATAATAATATCAGAGAAATAGGAATACATGGTCAAAGTGAAAATACCAATATTGGAGAATATAATTATGAAGATTATAATTATCTTTTAAATCGAACTTGGTACAGTCACACCTCGATATAACGAAGTTGCTGATCCAGCCGATCAGGACTTCGTTATAAGAATCTTCATTAACGCTA